GTTATCCAGCAGGTGCAAGTGGAGGAGTGGGGAATCAATCCCAGTTCTCCCAGATAAGAGACCGCGCACTTAAGAGTCTGTGCACTTAACCACTGTGCCAAAAACACAACCCTACATGAGAAAGGTAACCAGAAAGGTTGAGGCAAAGAAAAAGAAACTAAAATATAGCTACGCACGTAGTGTTAATGGACAAAATATCACACATAATTTAAGTATGCATTCAAAAGTGCTAACATATCATTTAAAAACCACAATCCTATGGTTCTGCATATAAGGCTGTTACCCAAACTGAGCCCAGTGAAGAGGGAATTAGCTTTTAAAAGGGTTCCAGAAAGGATTAATTCAAGACCTTGGAGCTTCTGTATACCAAGGTGGATCTCGTTAGGAGCAGTGTTCCCTCTAAGCTGAGTTAGTGTGAGCTAGCTCACAGTTTTTTAGCCTCCGGCTCACACATTTTTGTCTTAGTTCAGGAAGGATGGCTCCAGAGCAAGCTAATTCATGCAGCAGCCAAATGGCTCGCTCACAACTTTAATGCCGGTAGCTCACAAAGTAGAACTGTTGCTCACAAGACTCCACAGCTTAGAGGGAGCATTGGTTAGGAGTACCCCAAAATAAAATTAGGAAGAGCCAGAGAGAGGGAGTGATTGTAAACACAAAGAAAGGACTTTACTGTATACTACGTAAAAGAATCGAGAGAACCTAAAGAACTGAGAACTGATCCCATAAGAGTGTGAACAGACACACTTGAAAAAAGAGGAAGTCCTTGCAGAAGTGAGAAGAGAGGAAATGGGGGAGTTTTAGGGAAGGGGCAAGCAACCTTCAGTCCAGGGCTTGAGGTCTGGAGACGTCCAGAGAAGACGAAGTTGAGGTCCGAGAGCAGAGCAAGAAGAAAAAGGGGAACCTGCAAAGCAGTTGCAGGGATATCCAGGTAGTGGGAGAATCTGGCACACAGTCCAGACCAGTGTTCCCTCTAAGCTGAGTTAGCGTGAGCTAGCTCACTGTTTTTTAGCCTCCAGCTCACAGATTTTTGTCTGAGCTCAGGAAGGAGGGGCTCCCGAGCAAACCAATTCATGCAGTACCCAAATCCCTGGCTCACAGCTTTAATGCCAGTCGCTCACAAAGTAGAATTTTTGTTCACAAGACTCCACAACTTCGAGGGAACATTGGCAGACTTGGGGTGGACTTTTTATTGGAAAGGGTCCCGTAGCTAGACACGGGAACCCACTTTCCCAGGAACACAGCTGGTCCAAGAGATGAGGCTTGAATTTGATGGGGCAGTTTGAAGGTAACTGCTGTCAAAATCTGGCAGGCATATTAGTTGGGAAACACCTGACATTCCAAGGTAGGGCAATCATCGTTGGCATATTGGAAAAGGACTGGGTGTGAATGATGGGTTTAAATGTCCTTCTGATGCATCATCCTGGGTGGATCAGACGTGAAATTGCCTTTATCAAGGGCCGGATTGGATCGGTGATACTTAAGGGTTGCCCAACTGGCGACAGCTGGAAATGGTTCACGTTGCCTTGATGAAGTCTCCCTTGAAGCAAGGTATATGATTGTATAATGCGTGCCTTGAAGCTGGGCAGACACTTCTGATGTGTGTCAGGATACTGGGTGATGTCCTTTGCATTGAAAGGGTTTTTTGTTGTTGTTCCTGACCAGGATATGCCGTGGAGCACTTTAATTCCCGCACACCCTTCCCTTCATTCCTGGGACTTCCCAATGTCATGGCGGAACCCACGTGCCTTTACGAGACTTCCCAAGTTTCAGATCCCCTAGCACTTCTAAAAGGGGGTGCCCATTAAAACAACTAAGTCCAAAATAACAACTAAGTCCAAAATAACAACTAAGTCCAAAATAAAAGGGGGACCCTACCAATGCTCCCTCTAAGCTGTGGAGTCTTGTGAGCAAAAATTCTACTTTGTGAGCTACTGGCATTAAAGTTGTGAGCGAGCGATTTGGCTGCTGCATCAATTAGCTTGCTCTGGAGCCCTCCTTCCTATGCTGAGACAAAAATGTGTGAGCCAGAGGCTAAAAAAACTGTGAGCTAGCTCACACTAACTCAGCTTAGAGGGAACACTGGACCCTACTATCTGGGGAGGGTCTCACCTGGAGGAGGGGGCGGGGTCCTCACAAGGTCACTCAGTCAGCAGTGGTTCTGCACTGGTCTCATCTAACTGCTATCGTACACTGGGCCCTTAAAACTCAGCAGTTAACTAGGTACCAAGTCCACCTCTTCCTGGAAACAGTTTGCACTAGGATTTGAACCTGCACTGTAGCCATGTTGGGTGACAGGGCTTCTGTGATGCTCAAGGCTCGGCACAGCTCGCCCAGATGTGGGACTTTCATTCCACCCAATTCCGTCAGACCCAAAGGCTTCACAGAACGTGTTGAGCAGCGCAGACGGAGCCGCTGCTTTCTAGTGTGCAGGAGATCAGTTTACTAGGCTGTAGTAAGAGAAACTTTCTGTGCCCTTCCTTGGATACTCCTCTTTTCTTCGTGGCTTAAACTTGTACTGCTAATATTATATTATCCCTTCCGAAGCTCCCACCCCGCTATGCCACTTAGTTAACAAAACAGTTGGGCCTTTTGCCCACTGGCCTCAAAATGAAAAAGACCGAAACAAGACTGATCAAAAATGGCATACTATTTTCTGCAAAGAATCTATGAGGTTCTGCAGGTCGATGTCATCTCGGTACGACTTGATGTTGTTCTTGAAGAAGGTCTCGACCTGGTCCCTCACCCAGTCCTGGAACAAGAAGGCCAGCACGGCCACGACTAACTCCAGGATAAAAATCAGCACAATCGTGCCGCAGAACTGCAAGACAAAAGGCACAGGAGGAACAACAAAATTTTTAATACGAGGAAGGAACTCGGATTTGAGACACAGGCAAGCCAGTCGTTTTTCAACTGCACTCCAAGAAACCCTGGAGACCCTCGGGAGGTTATCGGAAATTCTTGAATGAGAAGATCTGCAACTACAGTAAGTGGCTAGATTTGGGTCCAGGAGCACCTTAAGAGGCCAACGAGATCTGGGGGCCATCAGCTTTTGAGAGTCAAACCTCTTTGACTTTATGGACCAACAAGATTACCTTAGAGACCAACAAGGTCTGCGGAGGGCATAAGCTTTCAAGTGCCAAAGCTCTTTTGAATCTCAAAAGTTCATACCCCCAAAGTCTTGTACGCCTTTAAGGCGCTACCAGACTCCAATTTAGTTCTGCTACTGCAGACCAACATGGCCGCCCTCTGAAAGTTTCCTCCCAAGACTGCTGGTCATACCACCTAATGAGCAAAAGGCGCAAGCCGAAGGCAATTCGGGGACAGATAAGGAGTTCTCACAAGACAACACGGGAGCACAAATGGTTCTCGCGGTTATTGCCTCATGCATACCCAAGAATATGCCTCGAAATCCTCTGCATTGTGCTGAGGTTCTTCTTTGGAAGGCGAAAGAGCCAAATGAGAAAAGTCTTGGTTGGAAATCACAGTAGTCAAAAAATGACTCTGCATTCAGAGCCTTTGCCAAGCTGAATCCGGCCCACGCAAGGATGAACTTAAAAGAGGCACAAAGGAATCCCACAGAACTGGGATTTTGACTGGTTGTTGCAAACTATGGATTATTATTATTATTATTATTACTACTACTATTATTACTACTTTCAATATGTATCCCACCTTGCTGGTGCAGCACTGGCTCAAGGCGACTGACACAGTTAAAACACAATAAAACCAATAAATACAGTGAAAATGCACAGTTAAAAAACAATGACATAAGGTGCTAATATATACAGATGGCGGCGATGTACAGATATCTATACATGGTCCGATGAGGAAAGGCCATATCCAGCGTAGTACTGTAGGGCCGTGGCCTGCTCGCTGAGACACAGCACTTGGCCAAACAAGGAAGCTAGTCAAAGAGCACTGGCTCATCCAGAATACAGGAGTTTGAAAAAATCAAAGCTTTAAAAAAAAAAGTTTTCTGGTAACTCACTAGGGTTGCCAAGTTGTTTCTCAGCCGCAGCGGGGGACTCCCGGGTGGCAACTGGAGCACGCCGCACGCATGTCACCCGGAAGTGACGTGATGACACCAGTCACGCTGGGGGCGGGGCCACAACCATCGGAGGGAAAACCATAGAGTTTTCCCTCCGGTGGTCGTAGCCCCGCCCCCAGCGTGCCCGGCGTCATCACGTCACTTCCTGATGACGTGCACGTGGGGGTGGGGTTCCCCCTGGGGTCCGATCCGCCGCCGGCGGGGAACGGGCCTCTGGGGCGGGGGTTTCCCCGCCCCCCCGGGAGGACTTGGCAAGCCTATAACTCACTTACTTTGATTCAGGGGGAAACTGAGATTCCGAGTCCCAGTAGCGCCTTAAAGACCAGCAAGAGTTCAAGAGCCAAAGTACCCTTCGTCAAATATCTCATCTGAGGAAAGACGCTTTGACTCTCAAAAGATGATACTAAGGAAGTCTTGGTGCTTTCCAAGGTGGTCTGGAATGTGAATCAGTTGGTCTTCAACTGCAGACCAACAGGGCTGAAACTATCTTAGGGACAAAATGGAATTTCTTGGAAACTCTTGGAAATGTCTACTAACTGACTGTGAACTTGGGCTCTTAGGGCTCTTTAGCTTGGAGAAACGACGACTGAGGGGTGACATGATTGAGGTTTATAAGATTATGCATGGGAAAGAGCAGGTAGAGAAAGAGGTACTTTTCTCCCTTTCTCACAATACAAGAACCCGTGGGCACTCCATGAAATTGCTGAGCGGTCGGGTTAGAACGGATAAAAGGAAGTACTTCTTCACCCAAAGAGTGATTAACACATGGAATTCACTGCCACAGGAAGTGGTGGCGGCTACAAGCATGGACGGCTTCAAAAGGGAATTAGATAAGCATATGGAGCAGAGGTCCATCAGTGGCTATTAGCCACAAGGTATAGATAGGGACTCTGGGGCAAGTGATGCTCTGTCATCTTGGCGTTTGAGGGAGTCAACAGTGGGAGGGCTTCTAATGTCCTGGCCCCATTGGTGGACCTCCTGATGGCACTGGTATTTCTGGCCACTGTGCGATACAGAGTGTTGGACTGGATGGGCCTTTGGCCTGATCCAACATTGGCATCTCTTATGTTCTTATGCCATTATTAATTTTTTTTTGTTTTGAATTTCAAAAGATATATCCGCCACATCCATTAGACAGACCAAGGGATAGTAAATACAGACACACACAACAGCCCGGAAACATTTTAAATATGGAACCAATAATAACCTTAATCAGAGTTAAAACAAATGCTCTTCAACACCATGAAAATGTTTATTGATACTGATATCACTCCAACGGAAGTACCACAGATGAAATCATTGCCATTAACTTGTCTGCCTTCGCTATCACCAAGACCTTTTTGGTCACCATTCCTATAGTCATCTTAGAAGATGGCTTTTCATATACGACCCGTTGACTAGTCCTATACATTCTATTTAACCTCTGCTGCATCAGTTGGATCTTCAAAAGGCCTGCCGTGTTTCTCGAAGTTCTGGAGAACATGAATCCATGAAGCAGCTGATACTTGATTCTACGGCTTAGAGGTACTTCAGTGTAATATTTCATTAGGGCTGTCCAATTATGGATTTTTTAAGTTGATCAACCATCTGCCATCTTAACCACTTAACTGATCGGTTCATTTAACTGACTCTTGATTCTTACTGTACATCGCCTTGGGTGTCTTATTACCGAAGAGTGAACAGCTACTTATTCTTTTGTGCTTTTTGAAAGGAAATTTATATGACCCCTATTTTTTATGTAACCTCGCATTTTCACTTGAACAAAATGTGAACACAAGTACCTTGCAGAGATTATGAAGGGAGATTCCAAACATTACAATATTTAAGAATTCTTATTCCACCACCTAAGCATTATCATCATTTTCCTACAATGTTAGCTGAAGCAAAAAAAACCCAACCCAAACCCTCAAAAAGCAGAAAACGTTTCTTCGTCTCACAGCCCCAATGTCAGCTTTGCTGCCATGGGGGTTGGGGAGTTCATTCTGTGTCTTGTTAATGGCTATTGCATTCCTATCCCTGCTGTTCTGCCTTTGCTGAAACGCTTATCTCTACAGATGTGCAGGAGGGGGTTGTGTTGTCTGGAAGTCTCCTATGTACCGTGAGAGACTCCTGGTTCCCAGCTTTAACCACTTAACGGTTTCCTAACTTGTCCCACGCACGGGAGGGTATCTAATTGGCCCATGCCATGGGGGGGGGGGTGCACACGAATATACCCTATATTAGGCTCTATTGGGTGCCGCCATTCTTAACAGTGCCTGTGTTACTGCATCTATAGCTTTGCAATAAAAGTATAACCATTCCTGAATGCGTGTACTTCGTTGTTAGCTGTGGGTTCTGACATTCACAAAGTAAAACCAGCCCTCACCGATTAATCAATTACGGCTTGCATTGATTAAGTTCCTGAGTAATCCGGCGCTGCTTGAGATGCTCTGAGCCAGTTTTACATGAAACAAGGGCGTCCAGATCTAAAACGGATGCCCAATGAATAAATCCCCTATAGTGACAGGGACCTTTATAGTGTTTAACTTATCGTTTTGCATTTCTTCAGCCGCGACATGGTCCCGTCTACGTCAGCTAAAAGCGGCACGATGCTAAACGCAGTCCCTGTCCGGCAACTTACAAATCTCAGAAGGCAGATATTCTCCCGTAAGGCTCCGATGCAGCCAGCAAATCCAAGAATGAACATCACCCCTCCGACCAGCAAGACGAGGACGACGGGGTCGAAGCCGTTGAGGCGGGTCATTTGGGATATATCGGATAATATACCCTAATAAAAAGGACCAAGGAAGAAAGAATATGAGAACCTGCTCTATTAGTTCTAATTAGTTGTATCCTAACGTTAAAACTTCATGTCCTGTTTTTCCACAGGGGAAAATGTGAAATAAGCTTTGGTGTACACAGGGCCTGGAGAAATTCTATCTCTGGGAAGCAGGTGGAAGAAACTCATCTCCACAAAACGGCTTTTGTAACCTGTCTATGAAGCTGGCAGGAAAGGCAGCCTGAATACTGTCCGACTAGAAGTTAACTGTGTACAGTTAAGGCACTGACCTGACTTAAATAAAAAAGTAACAGATGAATGGACGAGCCTAGTAAACTCTGCAGGAGTGTAACAGAGGCCCCAGCTTTCTGTCAACTGTACATTCTGAGGCAAACCTGCTGCTATTTAACGGGCAAAACAGCCCTTCAATAACTCATTCTGCCAGTCTTTGGAGGACCTGGCAACCGAAGACAATCCTCCACTAGATGGCACTAGAGGCCGCGAAGAGTGTTATGAAACAGAACACCTCCATTGTGGCAGCCGGGCAATTTGCCTAGCGATTTTTGGTGTTATCTGCAGGAAAAGGGCCGCACAGTCAAAATAATCGACAGCTGACTGATGAATCACACAGTTGATCTGGGAGACCCAAGTTCAGATCCCCCACCCTGCCCCAGAAGCCTGCTGGGTGACCCTTGGCCAGTCACTCCGCCTCATCCTACCTCACAGGGTTGTTGTGATTAAATGGAGGCGGACAGAGGGAGGTGGTAAGCTGCTTAAGGAGGATATAAATAACTGGATAAACAATTTCACAGATAATGTAGTAACTGCCTCCTGCTATACAGTCTTATAGCTGACCAGTACCTTAAAAAGGTAAAGGTTCCCTTGTTCGAAAGCCAGTCGAGTCCGACTCTAGGGTTGCGGTGCTCCTCTCCGTTTCCAAGCCGAAGAGCCAGCGCTGTCCGAAGATGTTTCCGTGGTCATGTGGCCAGCATGACTAAACACCAAGGCGCACAGAATGCTGTGACCTTCCCACCGAAGTGGTACCTATTTATCAACTTGCAATTTCTTGCTTTCGAACTGCTAGGTTGGCAGGAGCTGGAACTAGAGACGGGAGCTCACTCCGTCATGTGGCAACCCGGGTCTCGAACTGCTGAACTACTGACTTTCCATAGCCTGCAGTTCAGTGTCTTAACCACTTGAGCCACCGCAGCTCCGTGACCAGGACCTTACCAGACTTTTAACCCCAATCTACAACATGGGCTGAATTTTTTTCCCCATTGTACTTGTCCATTTTTTCCTTTTCTGGGACAGACAGATTCAAAGGGGGGAGGGGGTCCTGCTGTTTTAACAGTTGTGGAGAAGAGAGTGATTGGACAGGCAGTTTTCTTTGGTGGTGGAAAGTGCCGTCAAGCCACGGCCAAAATAGGGTTTCCAAGGCAAGGGAGGAGTAGAGGCGATTTGCCCTTCCCTGCCTCTGCGTAGCAACCCTGGGCTTCTTTGGTGGTCTCCTACCCGAGTCCTAACTCGGGCCAGCCCTGCTTGGCTTCCGAGATCTGACAGCCAGGGCAGGGTTTCCCCTAGAAGGGTTACGCCAACACGGCAGCTGCTTCCTTCTACCTCCTCCTCTCCCCTCCTACCTTCTTGTGCACTACACAATTCCCCTCAACTGTCCAGAGAGCCAGTTTGGTGCCGTGGTTAAGTGCGCGGACTCTAGTCTGGGAGAACCGGGTTTGAGTCCCCACTCCTCCACATGCAGCTGCTGGATGACCTTGGGCAAGCCGTAGTTCTGTCAGAGCTGTCCTTGAAAAAAGGAGCCGTTTCTGTCAGAGCTCTCTCGGCCCCACAGGGTGTCTGTTGTGTGGAGGGGAAGGGAAAGGAGTTTGTAAGCCGGTCTGAGACTCCTTTGGGTAGTGAAGGGCGGGCTATAAATCCAATCTCCTCCTCCTCCTCCCCATGGAACACCACTGCAATTGAACCACTATTTCCACAGCCCTGACCAATCTTGCCAGAGCCTGGAAGCTAAGCAGAGAACTTCATGGGAGATCATCAAGGAAGCCCAGGGTCGCTACGCAGGGGCAGGCAACGGCCAACCGCTTTCCGTTTGTCTCTTGCCTTGAAAGCTCCACAAGGGGCTGCAAGCAGCGTTCCCTCTAAGCTGAGTGAGTGTGAGCTAACTCACAGTTTTTAGCCTCCGGCTCACACATTTTTGTCTCATCCCAGGAAAGATGGCTCCAGAGCACACTAATTTACGCAGTTGCCAAATCGCTTGCTCACAACTTTAATGCCAGAAGCTCACAAAGTAGGATTTTTGCTCACAAGACGCCACAGCTTAGAGGGAGCATTGGTTGCAATCGCAAGTCGGCTGGCCACTTGACGGCACCTTCCGCCACCACGATTCCCAAAACTGACTGAAGGCGAGTATGTACTCCTTTTAGCCTACTCGTGGATTTCCATGTGGCTGCTAGTGTGGTTTTGGCTGCAAATAGTAATAGAGAGATTCTTTTCCTTTGTGTATTAGAGCATTTTCCTCTCTGCGATTTAAAAGCAGAGCTTCCAGAGATTTGTCTATCTTGATTTTGGTTATGATCGTTATTTCTCCTATTATTTTATCCCAGAAGGATGCTACCTCCAGGCAATCGTACCACCTATGCTCAGAAATAAAACTTAAGGGATGTTCTGCGAAAAACCATAACTCCTTTTGAAGCATAGATAAGAGCTGCAGATGAAAGTGAGAAAGGGGTAATATCCAAAATATATGCCATCTTAACGTCCTTTCAAGAGAACACAGTGCTACCATATCAGAAATACTGGGGGAAAGTGTGTAAAACAGAACCCATTGGGGAGGGCGGGATATAAATATGAAAAATAAATAAATAAATAAACTCACCCAAGATAAATGGCTAGATA